ATCACCTGCATGATTAAATTCCACCCTCAGTCTCCCCACAAGCCCCCAGATGTCGTGCTGATAGCATGTGGCTCAAAGCCCAACTCTCTAATCACATGGCTGGTCTTCCTGGCCCGGCCAGCCTGCATCCTGAGCCATCTCATTAGCACAGAGTATGATGGCCCCCATGAGTCAGCTCATTGGCACAGACTTTCAGGTGTGGTCCAAGGGTCCCACCAGGAAAGCAAAGACACTCCCATCACTCGGGAAATTCCAAACGTTTATGTACCTCCCAGGAATGAAGGATAAAGGCCAACCAAATCCCTTCTTACAGTCAGCTACTGACACCCGCTGGATGGTTGGGACTCCAGGGCAGGGCACTTACATTTAAATTCTTCAATCAGATATCTATTTAACAAAATAGCAAAATCAAAGTCCTATCATCACATAATGTCCAGTACACATATTGCCACTTCAGCCTACACACTTTGTGGAAATAATTTTATTTTTCCCCAACTCCATAATTAAATCTATATTGAATGCTATTGAAAACCATCTGCTTTGGCCTGAGCTGTATCATCGGTCACCCTGAAATCAGGAGGCTTCGCCAGCTTGTCCCCTCGATGAGGGAGATGGAAACCACAGTCCATCCACAGCTCCAGACACTGGCACATGGTGCCTTCTCTGCCAGCGTTGGCTTCCTGGGAACCAGCCTTCAATCTGAAGGCCACTTTGGGTGGGAAAGGACTTGGATGATTTTAAAAGCCCCTCCCCATACCTCCTACCCCTGGTCAAAAGAGTCGGGTCTTCTTGCCTTCCCCGGGAACTAGACCTGCCAAAGAGACCATGATTTCAGTGTCCTGGATCGTGACACCCTCAGACATTGCTGGATACACTGGCCATATTTCCTGTCGGCTCCCACTCTTTTGTGTGATCTCCAAGAGAGAGCAGGTAGAAGTTGCCAGTCCTCAGAAAGAGTTGGCTCCATTCACTCCTGTGTTCTATTGACAAAGCAAGACCTGTGCCAGCCGAATTCCATGTAGCTCCCTGCATGTGTGTAAGGGGAGTAATGGGTTGGTGGCACCAACTTTGGAGTCAGTCCCCCAGCTCAGATAGACACTCTTCATTCCTTCACAGAGCTGTGTAGCTCTAGAGAGCATTCCACTGAGAGTAAGTGCCACAGTTTAGTCAACCAATCTTCCATCGATGCCCTAATGAATGAGTTGTGTGTATTCTTTTTTGTGCCCTTTGAGGTGTCTTCAGAATGAATTCCTAGAGGTGACATTGTTTGGCTGAAGGGCACGTGTTCATTGCCAGGACTATCACAACAAAGTCCTACAAACTCTAAAGTTCTAAACCCCAGAGTAGATTCTCTCACGGTTCTGGAGGCTAGAACTCCAAAGTCAAGGTGCAAGCAGGACCATGCTCTCCAGGAAAGCACTAAGGGAGCATCCTTTGTCACCTTTTCCTGGTGTTGGCTCATAGGCACAGCGTTCCAATCTCTACCTCAGCTGTCACCTTCTCCCTGCATGTCTGGGTCTATTCTTAGAAGGATACCAGTCATTGGATTGGAGCCCACCCTAATCTAATACAACCTCATCTTAATTACATTCTGCAAAGACCCCATTTCCAAGTGAGGTCACATTCGTAGGTTCCAGCTGCACATGAATTTGGGGGGATGCTATTCAGCCCAGTACGGTGAGTGTATCTGTAGTTTGAATGTACTGGGTCATGCTCCCCCCCTTAGAGTGGAACTTTGTTGCTGCTCCACCCCCAGCAGTACACAGGGGCACCTGTTTTCCATGCCCAGCACCGTGGTGTGGTGTCAAGCTTTTGCTTTTTCGCCAACCTGATACATGAAAACGGTGTCTCAGTCTCTGTTTCTCATCAGGGATAAAGTTGAACATTTTTTCTTCTGTGTTGATGTGTACATTTTGTGGGCAGTCTGTTCATATCTTTCCCATTTTCCTAGAGGGCTTTGGTATTTTTTCCCTCAGTTTTTTTTTTTTTTTATCTGAAACTCACCCAGGACTTCCCCTCAATCCTTTTCCATTGGTCATTTTTCTGTGACACGGTTTTCATGACTGTTTAGAAGGAATCGTGGCTAACACCAGCTTTTCAAATCCTCAGAGCCCTCTCGCTGTTACTTGTGGGGAGTGTTTTAAACATACGGCAGCTTGGATTCTGAAAGTTCCTGGCTCTGTGTCCTCCATCAGTTGCAGTCCTCCTCTCTCCTATTTCTCAACTGTCTCCTCTCCAAGAAATATTTACTCTATTCCCAGCATTTTCTCCTGGGTTCGGGGATCCACCCAGGAAGAAAGCCCCAGTGGGTCCATCTTGAGAGTCAACAGGTTCTGAGCAGCTCCAGCCCCAGATCCCCACCCTCCACCCCAGCTTCACCTGGGACAGTGGAGACCGAAGCTTCATCAGCTCAAATCATCCTTCTCTGCTTATAGTGAAAACCAGGACTATTTGGGGGTTTTCCTCTGCTTGGGTCATTCCAATGCACTGCTACTTCCTCTGCTTTTTCTTGCAGACAAAAACACACGAGTCTTTGTGCTTCCATGGTGGGCTCCATCTGCTTGTATTTTGACGTTCTCTTGAACACTTTGTGACCAATTTCATTGTAAAGTCTCTGAGGCTTTCCGTTTCTCTGTCCAATGGCTCTGGCCACTCTCTGAGGGGGATTTGGAGCTGCTGAGGAAGTAGACCATCACCAACGTGGCCATCTGCACCTGGCTTTCCCTGGTCTTTTAGAACTCTTTGTATGTTTCTGAAATGGACCCTGCGATTCTGGTCTATATTAAAATATTATCCTCCAAGTTGTGTTTTTCAATATTGCATGTGGTATTTCAGGCATGCACAGGAATCTTTTCAATATTTATATGTTTGCTCATTTTATGCCTTTTATTCGTCTTTTCTTTTACAATGTGGATTTTGAGTCATAAAGAGAAAGCTTCCCCCACAGAGGACTTCACTGGCATTGTTTTCTAGAACTGTATGACTTTATTTTTTGCATTTATATTTCTAATTCATTTGGCATTTACTGTTGTGTATAGGTTGGATGTGGTTATTTGCTTCAGCATCATTTATTAGAAAGCCAATCATTTTCCAGCACTTGAGATGTCACCTATATCATAGAATATTTCCCATACACAGCACATGTTGTTGATTAACTGGAAAAATAAGGTGGATATTTTAACAACATTGGCTTATTTATACAGCTTGTTCCCAAAAAGGATTTATGCAGCTCCCAGTGAAGCTAGATTATACACAATGAACCAGGATGATATTAATAGGAAACCTCACTAGCATGGTGGATTAGACACATTTTACCATTTTCTACAGATTCTTCTAACTCTTCCTCATTGACATGTTACCTCTTGTGTTTTACAAAAAAGTAAAATATTAAAAATCAGACATAGAATGGATCCTTTGTAAAACACATTATGAAGTATGAGATTTATTTGTCTAATGTTAGACTCATCTTCCGGGGACGTGATCTTACCAGCCAGATGGTGTGACATCCAGAAACTGACTCCCCCATATTTCATATTCAGGCCAAAGCAGACGATATCAATACTCTCTCATAGTCTATATTACTGCTCTTGTATCCTGAGTGTATTTTTCTGGCAGACATATACTTGTGGATCATTTGTTTTTAACAAAAATAGAAAGGGGCTCCTCAAAAGCACAGCGCCCCAGGTTTCCCTTTGAAAAAGTAATTTTGAGGAGGAATTAACTGCCCTGAGCTAAAAACCCAGATTAAAGAAGCCTGTATCTTACTGCTCCACCAAGGCCTGGGCAAGATCCTTCCACAGGAGGGAAGTTAAGATCCTCCACAGTGCGACTGCACCCCCTCGTGGCGAGGTCCGAGGTCGCACCCAGGACGTCCCCAGATTCCTTTTGCCCCATCTGCCTTCCGCCCTCTATTTTGAAGAGAAGAAATCTAGAAGTTACTTCTTTAGAACCATTTTACCTCCAGAAAACTTAATGCTTGATTTATCAAGTATTTTAAAATATGTGTCTTAAAACCCTGTATGAATAAGGAAGGTCCCAAATTAGCCTTTGTCTGCCTACTTTCATAGCATTAACAGTAATCTCCCTGAATTAGCCCAGACACTGAACTAAGACTAATAGTAATCTCACTCAATCCTCAGAGCAACCTTGCAGAGCAACCTGGATGTTACCTTGGTTTTACAGGTGCAGAGGGAAATCATACAGGAGGTAAGGGTCTCACCTCACCCCCTGCCCTCACTCTTCCATGCTTTATCCGTAAACCCTTGGCATCTTTCACAGTCATCATTTTCTACAGCTTTTTTTAGATCTCCAAACACACCCTCACATTTATCTGTCCTGAGCTCCAGGCCCTTTCAGGACTTTTGCAAACATGTTTTTATTATTACTTTTTATTATTCTGTGTAGTGTGCTGATGTATTCCTAGGATTGTGCTGAAATTTTAACATTAACTTAGCAGGAAAGGGGAGGTTCCTTTCAGTCCTTCCTTACTCATCTGAGTGCCTAAGGTGGGAAGTGCTAGGATAGGTGCCAAAACAAAAAAGATGTTTCAGAAAACGTTGTGGCCGCTTGGCAGTGTGGGGAGATGCCTGGAGGGAGGCAGGTGGGCAGGTCTGCAGAGCGCTGCATCCAAGTCGGTGGTCCCGGGCGGCTGCCCTCTGAAGTGGGGTCCCCCACGGGAAGGACAGGGTGCCCTCTCCAGAGGTGGGGAGCAGGCATGGGGGCAGAATCAAAGCTGCGTTTTGAACCTTTACGTGTGCGTGTGTGTTAAGCCTCAAAAAGGAGAGAGACATAGCATAGCCCCAAACATGGCCCAAAGCCCTCCCTTCCAGGGCTTTTGTTCGCGCGCACACAGAATAACTTCCCCCCAGGCCGGGCCAGTCCTCCAGAGCACCGAGAGCGCCGGCCAGAGCGGCGGCGACCACTGCCGGGCAGCCGCGACGACCTACGACGCGCCAGAACCGACGTTGCGCCTGCGCAGGGGGCACGCGCTGCGCCGGCGGCCTTTACGTCATCACCTCTGCGACTCCCCGCCGGACAGCCTGGGATCTGCTCTTCGGGAAGGTGTAGTAGTGGGACCGGCAGGGAAGATGCCCGTGGCCGTTATGGCAGAAGGTGCCTTTAGTTTCAAAAAGTTGCTAGATCAGTGCGAGAACCAAGAGCTCGAGGTAACCATTCGCGTAGCGCTGGGAGGAGCCGCGGGGGGTCTCCGGGTACCGGGCGGCACTGGTCTCCAGGGTAACCGGGCCCGGGGCCTGCGGATCGGGGGCGGGGCAGGGGGCGGGCGCCTGCAGGGCGCGGGAGCTGGGCCTGTGGAGGCTGGCGCCTTGGCCTGTTCGGATGGCCAAGGATCCAGGCCCAGTCGCCCGAACTCGCTGGGAACTTTTTGTTGTCTGTCTTTAGCTAATGAGCCCGAAAATCTTGCTCATCTTTGCACCTTACACCCTCCACTGTGTATCTCATATCTACCCCCGGTTATGGGAGCAGGTGGAGGAATGTGGATTTTGTTCAAGACGTGTGCACGCACATACACGGACCAAAGATGTAACCATTGGAACCTTTTATTAGTTTAGAAAGCCCTTGTTGGTCCCATAATGTTAGCAGACGAGTTTATCGATTTGTCTTCAGTAAGAGGTGAAAGTTACATCATGCAGCTATTAAAGTTAAGGTTTTGTTTTAGAAAGGCCCTTAAAAAAGCATGTATAAAGAAGTTAGCCAAAGTAGACAACAGCCTAAAACAGCTGGTTACTAATAGACACAATAGATTTTTCAAATGAAATGAATGAAAGTTGAATGAGGTTAGAAATGCCTAAATCAACTGTGATGTTTTCCTTTTTATTATTCATTTATTTAGATATTCAACATATTTGATATAATGGCAGAATCATCATGCTTTAGGAATCGTTGGAAATACTTGTTTCTTATAATACTAAGATAACTTATATAAGAATTTGAGACCTGAGAAAAGGATCCTATTTAAATAATCTCATTCAAATAAAGTCACTGAAGAGATAAGTCACTGCTGATGACAGATTTCAATTTAATACTCTGGGTATTAATATAAGTGTAAATTAGATTATTCTCTTTCATTTTGGTCTTCTAGGCACCTGGAGGAATTGCTACACCCCTCGTGTATGGTCAGCTTCTAGCTTTATATCTACTCCATAATGACATGTAAGTACTTTTTACTAAAGCTAAAAGCAGCTATTTCTTCAAAGTTATAAAGAATTCACACATTAAAATACCGTCACTAGAACATGGGCACAAGGAGCTGTATCTTTTATTATAATACATAATACATCTGTGTCAAATACTGAATTATAAATTTATGATGAGGCTGAGTTATTTTAGACTACATTTGTTTTATATACACCTAAAAAGCGCTCCAGTTTGTTATGAGAAACTATATACAATGCCCATTTCAAATTGCTTTAATCCTATTGATCTTTTCTCTTTTGTCTTTTAATGAAACTTTCTTATTACCTTCATTTACTTAACTTCACTTGTAATCAATAGACCAAGAGAGATTGAAAGGGAAGGTTGAGAAAACTAAGAGGAATTTATTGCCAACATGTATGAGGTTTCTTGGAAGTTTTCTGCTTGTTAATTATTCTTAATTCATATTTGTTAAAGAAAAGTCAGAAAACATGACTACAAAGGGGTATGAGGAACTCATAGTTGTATGACCCATCCATGACTGCTGTTAAATTTTGTTTTAAATTTTTCTAAACTTTTTTTCATATCTTTTAAAAACCTAAATCCAGATTTTTATCATATAAATTATCTGTTTCATTTTTTGTAATCTTGTCATCTTGTGTTTGTTGTAGTTCAGGCTTCCAAAATCTTAAAAACTGCCTTGAAGTTTTGGTGATTCTTTGCCCACTGGTGGGAGGAGAGGTGACGAGGAGAAAAGCATGTGTGCTGTATGTGTTGTCAAGGAATGCCAGAGTCCTGAAAGTATATATGTTAGCTTATTTTTATAGAGAAATTATCTAGGCAGTTCTACTTAAATCTTTGTACTTTTAGTGTACTGTTGCCTTAATTTAAGATCTGGATTATTAATTAAAAAATTTACTACAAATGACAAAACTTTACTTTGGTAAATATATTTTATGTCTTTTAATTTGGAAAACTACTGTTACTTTCCCTAGATAAATTCATGTAAAACTAAATTTCACTTTGTATTTTATAAAATATTTTAAAGTATACTTCTGAATGTTTATATTGGGATCTAGCACTTTAAACATTTATTGAAGTGATTTTTTTTTTATTGCTTATTTTTCCTTGGGGTTGAAAATTAGGAATAATGCAAGATATCTTTGGAAAAGAATACCACCTGCTATAAAATCTGTAAGTATCCTTTCTATTTTTCTTCCTATTACAGTAACAACACTCATTTAAATAGTCACATCATAAAAGTTTATTTTTCTTCTCATATAGTTCGCAGAAATTGTTATTAAAGCAGTATTAAAGTTTAATAATAGATCTTCAAATTCTTTAATTGGAAATTTTAATTTCATTTGACAATATAGTAGTCTCCTGCTGATCAGATTTCTTGAGATATTTCATGTGTCACTTAACTAGGTAAACAACTGAGCCAGTTTAGATAAAGGTCTGCTGTCTATTGTTTTGTTTTGTTGTTTTTTTTAAATATATTTTATTGATTTTTTACAGAGAGGAGGAGAGAGGGATAGAGAGCTAGAAACGTCGATGAGAAACATCGACCAGCTGCCTCTTGCACACCCCCTACTGGGGATGTGCCCGAAACCAAGGTACATGCCCTTGACCGGAAACAAACCTGGGACCTTTAAGTCTGAAGGCCGACGCTCTATCCACTGAGCCAAACCGGTTTCGGCTGTCTATTGTTTTTTAACTGATTTATGCAGCTTTCTATTACGGTACTTATTTTGAACTTGGTAATGTTTATAAGAATAGTCTAAAAATGATGATTACTCACAGAATTAAGATTATTTTTGCTAATTAAGACTTTAGATTTCTTATTTGGGGTAGGGGATTAGATGAAATAACCTCTTAATAACCAAAGTGAAATGAAGTAAATTTTTACTTTCAAGCCATTCACTGTGCCTGTCATAAATGTCAAGTGAAAATTTCAAAAAATTACCAAGAATCCACCCAAACTCCTTTGTTGATTATCAATATTCAGCAGCAGTCCAAATTAGTATTTTTACTCCTCCTTCTTGCCAGGTCATTCTGTTAATGCTCTTCCAGCTTCATGGGCTTAAATAAAAACAGCCATCAATTATGTGCATGATATTACTGGCAGCTTTAGCCTTAGAAAGGCTATAGTGTATGGCATCTTAGACTGGAAGTCTGTGCTGTTAGCCATTTTGTTATTACTTATATCCTAATATATATATATGTATTAGGTTTGGTTCATGGATAGAGTGTCAGCCTGCGGACTGAAGGGTCCCGAGTTTGATTCTGGTTAAGGGCACATGCCTGGATTGTGGGCTCCACCCTCAATAGGGAGCGTACAAGAGGTAGCCAATCAAGAGGTAGCTTATCTCTCATCATTGATGATTCTGATTCTCTCTCTCCCTTCCTCTCTAAAGTCAATAAGAAAAATATATTTTATATGTATATATTTATGTATATATCAGTTATATATTCTGTGTTAATGTATTAATGAAATACAAATACATCTTTAAAAACTATTTTAAGGTAATTCTAAGATTTAGTTCTTTGGACTGCATTCTCATGCCTTAATTTGCTATTAAAATAAAAATTTATATCAGTTGCTTAGTGGTTAGGGTGTCAGCCCAAGCACCAAAGGGTCCTGGGTTCGATTCCTGTTCAGGGGCAGGGTCAATCCCACGTGCAGGAGACAGCCAATCAATGTGTCTCACATTGATGTTACTCTCTTTCTTCCCCCTCTCCCTCACCTTCCTCCCCCTCTTTTCCCCTAACTCCCTCCCTTCTATTCTCTCAAAGATCAATAGAAAAATATCAAATGAGGATTAACAAAAAATAAAAAGAGATCAGACATAAATAGACTTTACTATTCATAGCATTTAAAAACCTTTTTTGTGGTATTGAGCTAAAAGGTAATTACATCCCTTAAAAGAAATGGTGAATTGTTTTAAGATACAGCTGTTGATGAATCTGAACAGTGAATATCCTCAAAGACAATAATAATACCGGTATTTATTGCAGGCAAATTCTGAACTTGGGGGAATTTGGTCAGTAGGACAGAGAATCTGGCAGAGAGATTTCCCTGGAATCTACACGACCATCAACGCTCACCAGTGGTCCGAGACTGTCCAGCCGATCATGGAAGCACTTAGAGGTAGTGTTGCTTTCTGGTTAAAAATCAAATTAGACTACACTTGTTCCCTGAAGTGCTGCAGTGTTGAATTAAGGCAGTGGTGTGTTTTAAAAATAGATTTTTTTTTTTTTTGCTAATGGGGCAGTTTTCAGAACTCTTAGATTTGTTATTATCATGCTGCTTCATTTCATGTTGCTTGTGATAACAGCGACACTTCGGGGCATCACTGTCTTTTAATCCTAGATTGAAATTGCTCTTGTCAGGTTTTTTTTTGTTTGTTTTTTTTTGTTTTTCTACTAAAATGAAATCTGGTAATACTCTGATAACTTCAGAGACTGCTTTGGACTTAGCTTCAACCTTCCATGGTGAGGTTTCCAACTTCTTGATTTTATAACTAATCAGTCCAGTACATAGATGCGCAAAGATGAAAAGCCTGATGAGACATAATAAAACTCATCCCTGCCCCTGTCTTTACATTCCCTCACCCCAACACTTGCTTCCAATCTTCCTGGTTCACTCCTTTATAAATTCAGACAATAGACGGAAGTCTTTGGGTTGATCTAGTCTCACCACATTTGGACAAGAACAGTAATGTCATTTAATTACTCCTTTTCAAAATGTCAGCTCTTTGGTCACTCTGCACACCCTCTGCTCCCACACAGAAGCGACAAGGAGACGAGCCTTCGCCCTGGTCTCTCAGGCATACACCTCAATCATCGCTGACGACTTCGCAGCATTTGTCGGGCTCCCTGTGGAAGAGGCTGTGAAAGGTATGGTTGGCCTACTTGTTGCTTTCAAGGAAAGTGGAAAATGGAGGTGTTTGTTGTGCATGTTTTTAGAGAGATGACATGAAGCATGCAGCCCAGCACCCAGCAGGGCCGGGCAGCAGATGCCTTGAAGGCAGGCACAGTGGTGAATACCCACATGGTCATTACCAGGGCAAGTGCCAAAGCCACCAAATTAGGCAGAGAGAAGAGTTGACCTCATTGCTCATTTAGAAATCCCACTTCACTCTGACTTGGTGGACTCATCCCAGCATCCCTTTCCAGCCCATCTTCTCCCTCACGATTTTACCAATCTCTCTACCCTGGAGCTGGCACCCACTCCTGATGTGCTTCTCCACTGGTCCCCAATGTGCTTCAGCATCTTTGTTTCTCCCATGCTGGAGTGAGGTAGAGCATTGCACATGCTGTGTGGCACTGCTTTATAATGATTGACGTTTTCATTCTCCAGCAAAACAGAGTTCCATCAAGCACCACATCTTATCCTTCAGTGTCCAAGGCCTAGCACAACTCTGGACACTTGGAAGCAGGTTAATGTAAGATCTCAGAGGAAATCTTACCACTACTTACCCATGCAAGCATCTATTTATTTGACTCCTTTCTGGAAATCAATCCATGATTTGTTATCCAATAAGTGCTGTACCCCAGAGTCCATACTGGGTAGAAGTATATGATCTAGGACAAATTATCGGAATTCCCTATTTCATTTCCCACATCCATGTAATTATGGTTGCATGTGCACTTCAGAGAGCTATTATGGTGATGATGTAAAATCCTATAAAAGCACCTACCATGTGCCTACTGGTTGTCTCACTGTACATGTCAGCTGTTGTTTGCATGGTTTCATCACCTGTGTTATTACTGATACAATCTACACTAAAAATCCTAGGTGCTCCTCGCACCCTCATACAACACCCTCATGTTGTCACAAGATGGCCTGCAGGGGAGGGCAGTTGGGTGTGATCAGGCCAGCAGAAGAGCAGTTAGGCGTCAATCAGGCAGGCAGGTGAGCAGTTAGGATCCAGCAGTCCCGGATTGTGAGATGGATGTCCTGCTGCCTATGGGATCGGCCTAAACTGACAGTCAAACATCCCCCGAGGGGTCCCCGATTGGAGGGGGTGCAGGCCGGGCTGAGTGACAGGCTTCCCCCCACCCCTTCCCCAAGCCACAAATTTCATGCTCCACCTCTAGTGATTACATAAAATACAATGTAAGTTTTCTTTATGTCTGTTTTTAGTAACTGATCATATTAATACCATGGTACTTTATAGAAAACACATCATCTATTAGTGGTTATTCCAGCCTGATAAAGTAAAAGGAAGCGATCTGTTTTACAAATGTTTCAAAATTAAGATTATATAAGAACACTGTTTGTAGCACAACTTTCTAGTAAAACTGTACATGGCAGGTTAAACTACATGTGTCAGGTCTCCTGAAAAAATGATGCGATAGACAAAGAAAAACGGAGGGTTTGGGCTATTCCTTCATTTTTGTGTTGAATACACGTTTTTTAGGTATTCTGGAGCAAGGATGGCAAGCTGACTCCACCACGAGAATGGTCATGCCCAAAAAGCCAGGTAGGTGGAGCTCTTCACCCGTGTGTGCAGCATGGGACTCCCTGGGACGCCTTTAGTTTTCAGATATTACATTTGACTAACTTGATATAAGATTCTGCTGTACTAGCAAAATGAAAATAAATCACACATTAAATACAGAATGGCAGGCATGTAGGTGGAAAGGATCTTAAAGTCACCTAATTTTCCCTTAATTATTAAAAATGTATCTCTTGTACAAAATATTTATGTGGGTGTTTAATAATTTCTGTTACAACTTAACTTTTGCTAAGTTTTAATCTCCCATCCTTTCATTTATGGAGCCATTTCTAACTTCATCCTTCCTGTCTAACTGTTGCCTTAGGAAGTTATTTTAATTCTTAGATATTCCCCTTTCCTCTTGTACTGTAGACACGTAGACTCTTCTAACCAAGACTTTCAGTGGCTTCCACCTTCATACAATTACATTACCTGGTCTTCCTTTTAAGGCTTTAAATCAAATGGGCTGGCTGTGCTGTCCCAGTGTGAGCTCCCAGCCCCTCCGCCTCCTCTCTGCTCAGGCCAGGCCCAGTCGTGCCCCTGGTTTCCTTCCACTCATCAGGAGGCTCCACTCAACAGGGAGGGCCTTACTGCCCACCCCACAGCCCTCCCAATCTGTTCAACACTGAGCTCCTGTTTGACTTTGCTGCTCCACAGTTGAGTGTTGCACAGATGTCAGGGTGCTCAGCCCTGCGAGAGTGCCGAGGGAAGCCAGGCCCAGCGGTCTGGAGGACAAGAGAAGCGAATCAAATAGAGGGCAGTGGTATCTCTGTTGACAAATAAGTGGCCATAAATTCATATCGCGTTAAAACTGCATGTTGTATATGGAAATTCTTTGTAATGACTTCTGTAAGTGGACTTTACATTTTGTTTATTTAGTTGCAGGTTCCTTGGATGTTTCCTTTAACAGGTTTATTCCTTTATCAGGTATGTATTTTCATATGTTCATTTAAAATACATTTCACTGTTCTTAATTGTTTTTTGTAGTATTTATTTATTTCTTTATTTTTAGTTCTAACTTTGTAAAGAGATTAAATTCTTTATTTGGTATTTATAATAATACACCAGGTTGTAAGAGTGAACGTGTGGGTTCCCCTCTGTAGCTCACCTTGGGCACTAGTGCCCTGGGCAGGGAGCTGTGATGGGGCCTCTCAGCAGCATCCCAGCTGGCACGTGCCACCTGAAAAGCCAGAGTTTAACCCCCGGCAGTGTGGTCATTGTGTTTTTCGTTCATCGACACTGAAGTCCTCCCAGAGCAGTGTTTGTCGCCTGGAAAGCACTCAGTGGTTCACCCATTGAGTTACCTGTCACGTGGGTGGGATCTTTCCCAGGAGAGCTGTGTTCTCTTCACAGGGATGTTGCATGTTTGCTTCAGTAACAACAAACCAATGGGGCTTTATTCCCAGTTTGGGAAAACTCATAAAAGTTTGAGACTTCTTGGCTTGTTTTTCAAATGTGCAAAGTCAGGGCAAATCTGGGCAAGTTTTCTTATTGTAAAATTAAAGATACGGGACGGGGGGTGCAGAACCAAAGCTGTGTTGCTCTGGACACTAACTTTGTGACTCTTGCATGCACAGAGCCTGCCCCAGTTCCGCCGATCCCCAACGAACAGCAGCTCGCCAGGCTCACTGATTACGTCGCTTTCCTCGAAAATTGATGTCTCATCTGCTTTACGATCCAGTGTCTCGTATCCTGACAAATGTAATTTTGTATTTTCAGTTTATTGGATGGATCGAACACCTCAGCGTTCCGTACTGAGTATGTGATAAAATACAGATGTAATATAAAGCATATTATATATATTTGTCCTGACACATCATGCTGAATAGTTCTGAGACAGTTCTCCTTCGGTGGCAGCTGGCAGTTTGGGTGAGGCTGCCAGAACGACGCAGTCAGCTTACATTTCCGGGGCTCGTAGGTGCAGCCCCCCTGCCTCCTGCTGCACAGAGCATGGCAGCGTCTGTCCCACCCGCACCCGGTGCTATCCCATCCGGTCTGAGGAAGGCTGTCCAGGGGTATTGTCTGAATTGGGGGTGGTCTCGATGCACCTCTTTGGAGAATATGCCCTCTTCTCCGCTCCCACGAGTCACTGATACAGGGTGCTGAGGAGCCAGAGGCGTTTGTTTAGCAAACAGATTGTTAGGGTCCTCTCTCAGTGTGAGTGCATCCATTGCTGGCAGTGGAGGTGGGACTTGAGACACTTAAGACGCTCATGAGAAGTATTAGCTCATGAGAAGTGTTACGTTTTACTGTTTTCTTCTCAGAAGAGGGAAACTCGTATTGAGAAGAAGCTTTGAGATAAGTAACACTATGTACCACTGTCCTGCAGCCTGCTGGGTGCTGTGTTTATCCCTCGGTTCAGTTTTGCCTTTTGGAAAAATACTGAACAAGTTTTTCATTTCTCGTGTGATAGCTTTCTGAATATTTGAAGTTGTTTATTGTATTTTCAGATTAAACCACCCGCCCCCCAGTTCATTTATTTTGCATTTGTTCAATAAATATTTAATTGATTTCTTCAATTGTTTCATCTAAGGCAGTTTCTAGAAACATCACTATCCTGGTTTTTCTGTTGACATTCTAGTTTATCACTGTCTCTCTTACAATTATTTGATTCCTGTTTTTGCTCATTTTAAGATATCTGTTCTCGGAACGTTCGCTTTGCATCTAAGGTTATAAGAACACTTGAGTTTCTACATGTTAAACTAAGAGCCACAACCGATAAGGGGCCAGATGTTCACAGCCCCGTCCTTCACAAATCAAGGCTCCAGCCCTGGGGAGCCCATTGAAAGTTAACAGGCTATTAAAAATTTGTCCAGGAAATTTACAACCATTTTGTCATTTTCTAAGTTTTGATAAATGTTTTTTAACACACATGTGCCATAGAAGGAGTGCTTGCAAGGAGGGGCTTGTCAGCATGAGAAGGAACGATGGAGTGGGAAGGCGATTGTCTTCAAATGCTGCGCTGTCGCCTGGCAGGGTTGTGTTCATTGCTTCCAACAGCAAAATCACGTGAAGGTTAGAAAAGACCAGTACTATCCAATAGAAATGGAAGGTGCCACATAGGGAATTTAAATTTTCTATTGTAGTAGCCACAATAAAGTGAAAAAGGAAAACATGAAATTATTTTTAACGTATTTTATTCAGCCCAGTCCAAAACATCATCAGCTCAACATGTCATCAGCACCAAAAATATTAATGAGATAGCTTACATTCTTTTCTTCATGCTAAATCTCTGCAATCCTACGTGGGTTTCATTTCCATCACAGCTCAGTTTGGACCAGCCACGTGTGAGCAGAGCATGTGACACAGGAGGTCTGATGTCTCAGACACAGAGAGAGGCCCAGCAGTCAGATGCTGCAGCCCTGTTACATAAGCACTCACCAGGGTGTTGGGAGAATGCCCGGCACTGAGTGCATTAGGGACAGCTTCTTTTCCTCCAGGAGACATGAGCAGTTGCCCATTTGTCTTCTAGCTTTCAAAATGTTGGGTTTTTTTAAAAAAACAAGCTTCAAATAAACTGCATTGAAAAGCAGGGGGAAAGGCATCTATTACCTCTGGGCTGGAGCAGCCCATGAATTGGAGTGTGTCCTTGTTTGTTAGTGCTGTGCCTGGTTCCTCACTAGGAGCCACTGACAACACTGCCGTGGGCGGGGATGGAGGTTTGCCTTTTGGATGGAGTTAACCTTGGGTAATGCAATCTTTTTTTATGCTTAGGCAAAGTAACAACCTTCCGCTGATGTTGCTTCTCTAAGTGAAGGACGCTTTCTTTCAAAATGTAGTGGGAGAGCAGTGTCATTTAACCTAAAGATCTAAAAACAAGCTAAAGCCGGGGTGGAAAATTTCTTGATTTAAATGGTTGATGACGTTCTCCTGGGTCATTTGAGACACTGAGAAGCCAGGCTTCCTTCACACATCTTTTCAACTTTAGTGATCACCTCGTTGCGCCCACCTGAGCAGAGCATCTGTGTCCTGAACATGAGTCATAGTTTTCCTCCTAGATAGGGCCAGAGAAAGGCTTGTGTTCTGAATAAAAGGAACCAGACCATTTTCCACTTGAGTCACATGATGGAGGGAATCGCCAGAAACCAGCGTTGATTTAATCATGTTCTCGTGATCCTTACGCCTGCCCCCAGCCTCTGAGAGGAGCAACCCAGGACAGCCAGCAAAGTGACCCCATGCACAATTCATACAGTGATAAACACCCACCTACAGGGGTCCTGTGTCCCTTAAATACCGTGACTGGAGAACAGTGAAAGTGTTGTGAGGCTGGTGGTGAGTGATGCCAAAGGAGAATGGCCTAAGAAATCCCAACTCCCATCTGGCACCCATATGCCTGTTGGATGCCGCCCTTAAAATCTCAGTTTCTACCAGATTCTAATCGGAACTGGACCCATTTCCCCGTGACACACAGACTGGATGGAAATGTGGGAATGTGTTCTCATGAATCTATTTCAAAGGATGAGCAGGCTTCAGTGTTTAGCATCTTGGCTAAATACTTGTTTGAATGCCTCGCCTGTCTTTCATGGGGCCTGAGCTGCTGCTGTAGGTCGGGAATTTGTTCTCTGTGTCCACCATCCCTCCCCTGCGATAGCTAAGGACTGATGAGAAGCAAATATAGGGTTAACCCTGATTTATCGAAAGCAAATATTTCAGCCAGAGCCAAACCTTCATACAATGCAGCTGCTCAGCACCATCCTACCCTCCCTGCCACTGGGTTTTCCCTGACCCACGTGGTTAGGGTCATTCTCGTCACTCCAGCTAAAGGTAGTCTGCAGAGAAGTAAGCCTTAATGGCTGGGGAAGTGCCACAGAAAACAGTGCTTGATTAGACAGCATGTTTCAAAGAGAAAACAGACATCTTGCAAGCCCTAGTTCAAAATGTTCAGATCACAGCAGCGAATGTAAATACCTCGGAATCTCCTACCCATCTGACCAGTCATGTTTCTCCAAGAGGTGGAATGACAGCCACAGACCCCGTCCTGGGCTATCTGCCATTCAGAGCTCTGCTGCACTCTTGTCTGAGCCCAGAGCAACCTCTCCTGGTGGCACGGAGGGGCCCGTGGGGAGCAAGGACATTGAGTTTGGGTGCTGAGGCACCTTGTTTTGTGGGTATAGCGCTGGTGTTCTGAGTGGAGGTCTGAGGGAGTCATACATCCCTTTCTCTGTCCCCAGGTCTCCCCTGCTTAGAGAGATTGGATAAAACCAGCCTTCATGTTATCCGCCCACATTACAGCAAGCTGGCCCTGCTTCCCCTCCCCGTGACCTCTTAGCCTTCATTCATGAGAGAAACCAGTGAGAACAAGCTGCAACAGTGAGAACGGGGACTGCCATGGATACCACCCAGGTCCACAACTCCTGCCTCACTCCTGCCAGGGGAGCAAAGCCTGCCTGGAGACACTAATCCTTCAATTTACTCCAAAATATGCCTAGAACCTTTGGCATTTGCAAACCCATTCTGAAATTAAAAACAAGTAATTGGCTGGTGTGGCTCAGCAATTGAGCATTGACCTATGAACCAGGTCTCTGGTTTGATTCCTGGTCAGGGCACAGGCCCAGATTGTGGGCTCAATCCCCAGTGGGGGCCATGCAGGAGGTAGCTGATCAATGATTCTCTCATTGATTTTTCTATCTCTGAAATCAATAAAAATATATTTAAACACACACATACACACAAGTAACTGAAGGTTTTCCCACTGTTGAAAAGCATTGGTTTAGACCTAATTATCTTCCGTGTCTAGTTTGGTCTAGACCAGTGGTCGGCAAACTGCGGCTCGCGAGCCACATGTGGCTCTTTGGCCCCTTGAGTGTGGCTCTTCCACAAAATACCACATGCGGGTGCTTACGTACAGTGCAATTGAAGCTTCGTGGCCCATGTGCAGAAGTCAGTTTTAGGCCTGGGCAAGTATATTTTGAAGAAGTGGCATGAGAACACACAAGGGGCCAAAGAGTCGAATGTGGCTTGCTAGCCGTGGTTTGCCGACCACTGGTCTGGACACAGCTGAGAATCTGGACACACTGCCTTCCTGTTGGTCCTAGACAGAATGCAGCCTTCCGACACTGACAGCCACATGCCCAAATGGAGAAATGGTTTCCTCAGCATTTCCAGAAAAAGGTAGACTTGGTATTTTTGTTTAATCGACAAAATTAGTCTTCCACAAATGAGATTTTGTGTCTTTCAAGTTGGAAGTGTAACCCTAGAGTCACTAGGCTGTGGCCCACATTCAAGGTGCGCTCATCTTTAATATAGACACACATGCCCGTGAACTTGTGTCTTTACCTAAAAGCACAAGAGGACGCGCCGACAGGAATAATTTACCCAAATGTACTTGTCTCACTTGTCTTTCCCACCTACAGATCCCCCTCCTACACTCTTGTTGCCTGTCCCCATCGAAGCGCAGCCCTCCACGGGCACCCTCCCTGGACGGACGCCCTTTGGGAGGGGCAGGGGCAGAAGCAGGTGTGGGCTCACAGGGTGGGGAGAGGATGTTGTAGCCCAGCCTCAGGCCCAGCCCACCCGAGACACCCAGCCCTGCTTCACTTCTAGGACTTTGAGGGTTCCTGTGTGGACCTGGGCTCTGACCTGGGTCCACACATGGGCTGCAGGGCCTGTGAAGGTCATGAACTTGTTGTAATGATGGGACCAGGGCATGTGACTTCACTGAGTCATGAGGGGACACGGGTGGAGGGCCTGACCTCAGGCCAGTTTCTGGGCGAGGGGGTTCACACCCACCTGGGCCCCAACCAGTCAGTCCTCTCCATGGGGGAGACTAAGACCTGTCCAGGACCGCTGGGTCCCTGCCCCACACCCACCTGAGTCAGGCCTGACTGGTCTGCAGGCATTCCTGGTGTGAAGGCGGAGCTGGGGTCCCCCATGAGTCCCCTTCCCCTCGTGTGTCCGCACTCCACTCCCCTATTAAATCTTGATTTGTTTTCAGCCTGCCCCTCCATTCTGTTCTTTTTCTCTCTCCATTTCCCTTGGAACTGAAACCAAATGTTATAAAACTGAGTCTAAAAGCCACTTTTCCCGGAAACAGTTGTGTCTGTGTCCCCCTCCCTGCCCCCCCCCCCAAAAAGGGACAGAGCTTCCCCAGGAGTGCTTTCTCCTGCTCCCAGGTGTGCTGCCGCCTGGGACAGCCTGCTGTCCCTGAAGAGTGGCTGGAGCTGTGTCCTCTGTGAGGATCGCTCGAGTCACATCTGACCAACTGCAGGCCTGACCCCAGCCTCCCACCCTCGCTTTGAGCTGAGGCCTGTTCTGAGCAGTCCCTGGGGAGAAAGTAAGCATGGGGGGTGGGTCGCTTCCCTCCTCCAGAGGCCTCTCCTGGCTGCTTCCCCTGGGGCCTGTGTCCTGCAGGTGGCAGCGCAGGCCAATTGGCAGGAAGGGGGAGGCCTCAGGGCAGCTGGGCTGGTGAGAGGACGCTGCAGATGTGGTCACATCTGACCTCTTAAGTCACAGGATCCAAGCTCCTTTGGGAAACAGTTAAACCTCATTTGTACATTTCTGGCTGCTAAAACGGTCTAGTTTCCCCCTTGCCTTGAAACATATTAGCAGAAGTCAGTAGGGAACTGTTGCTGTCCCTCCCCCACTCCTGGGATCCTTGCCTAAACCTCAGTGAGGCCTCCACAGGTTTCCCTGAAGCTGCTCTTGTCCTGGGATTTCTGAGCCCCTTCAGCTGAGGAAACACCCCCAAAGCTCTGACCCTGACCCCGAGGGATCAGTTGGAAGAGTGCTGGCTAGCTCCCCTTTCCTGGGGGCAGACACTCAGATCCGCTTCCTGTGTGGGCCCAGGGTCCCTGGTGGGGGGCGATGTGTGTGGGGGGAACACAAGTGCCTGTGCTTCCTGGGCTGGGCATTCGGCCCTGTCCTGACAAGGAAGCATGCAGGTTCCAGGACTCTTCATCCTCCTCCATCCTCCATCGCAGGCCAGAAGGAGCCTGCATTTCTCTCCCATCCCTTCCCCACTCCGGGTCCTGCTGCCCAAGAAAGGCCTGGAGGGAACCCAGCTGCTTGAAGTGGTTAAATAAACAAGAAGCTGTGACTCATGGAGGCATGAGGTCGCTGGAACAGGAGCAACGGGGAGCGGACCAAGTGCCAAAGCTGTGATGTGGCGCTTCCTCCGAACCGGCCAGGGAGGGGCGAGGAGGGGAGTGGGAGCTGGACCAGGAGTGTATGAGAGAGACAGACACCATCTGTGTGGGGAGTGTGTGCTTTATCTCCCTTTATCTTCCCCCAAACTGCTTTCTCGGGGCTAGGTCTTGAAACAAGGCTCTTCTCACTGGCACCTGACCTAGGTCAGTCCAAGGCCATTGGTTGCCCCCTTCCCTTTCCCTGAGATTGTCTGATAAAGTCACGCTGGACAGTGGAAGTAGGTACCAGAAGGCCAGCCTGGAAGCCAACCTGCATTAGATGCTCAGCAGGAAAACAGTCCCCTATTTTGAAACAAACCAAAGGCATTTTAAGTTTATTTGTCCAAAACCTTGGCTTTTGTCCCCATTGTTAAGGATGACACCCTAAATTAGTAGTTCTCACCCAGGAGCAGTTTTATCCCCAAGGTTCACTGACAACGTCCGGAGATATTTTACATTGTCACAGTTGGACATGGAGGGCTCTGAGGCAGGGAGGCTGCCCAACGCCCCAGTGCACAGGGCAGTCCCCGCCATGAAGAATGGCCTGGACCGTATGTCAATAGAGCAATTCCTGTCATTGCCCGCTGATCCTGTGGCATGAAGAACCCAAAATGGCAGTAGTCCCAACTTCAGTGGCACTCCCACAGTGCCCCCTAGTGGAAGCACCTGTAATCCAGTGGAACTTACTTAACCCAGTTTCAACTCCACCTTAAAGGGCACAACACCCTTGGGGGAAATCAGATGGTGAGAAGTCCTGCTCAGGACACAGCAGCCATTTCAGTTGCAGGCTTAGCCCACATGTAGAGCTGGGAGGCATGGCCCTGCATTGTGCATCGTCCTTTATCAAGCTCTTTTACGTTACCCAGCTTGGGAGTAACTGGCTGGCACTACACCAACCTTCTTACATAGGTTCCCAGTGCACAGAGCCCAACACATTTCTAGTAAACAGCAGGAAGAGGCCAGGCCTGGGGTTTCAAACCCTTGGTCCAAGGGTTTCTGTTCAACGTGTTTTCCAAAGTGGTTGCACCTGTGAGCAGTGTCGGAAAGTCACAGTTGTTCCACATGCTTGCCAACACTTAGTATTGTCCGTTTTTAAATTTTTATTATTGTAGTCCTTCTGGTGCATGTGTGGGATAATCTCACAGTGGTTTTCATTTTTGCTACTCAGATGACCAATGAAGTTGAGCATCTCTTCATATGTTTATTGGTCACTGGATATCATTTTTTTTTCTGCAGTCTTTTACCCATTTTACTATCACTGATTTTCAGGAGCTCTACATATGTTCCAGAGACAAGCCTTTGCCCCATATACATAATTCAAGTCTCTGTTCCCATGCCTTGGAGTTGCCTTTCACTTCCCACGTCCTTGGTCTCATCATTCATATCCTGAAGTTTCTACTCATGGCTCTTCTAGTTTATTTCCATTGATTCTTGAGAATAATGTGTCCTTTTCCTTAGATTTTTCTTTTATTTTGCTAAATTTTATTCCTAAGCACATTTTTCTGGTCCCAGAAGGACCTGTAGAAGACAATATTCTAATTGATTAAATGTTAACGGGTCTTTAGTTTGCCTTCAGTCTTCGTTGGTAATTTAGCTGGGCTCACACTACTCCGAGAATTCTCTTTCTTTCTCAAAGTGCATTAAACAGTCATGAAGAAAGAATAATCTCACTTTGCATATGTATTTTAAACTTCTTCACTTGAGTTCTTTTTATTTTTTACATTTTCTTCTGTTTCAAATAGAGATTTGATTTCCCCAAATGGGCTGACTGGTCTCCATCTCTTCACCTGCAGAAACTGGTGAGTGTCCAATGCTTTTGAGCCTTACAGAGGGAAATGATTTTTTTTTTTTTATGTGGGGGATTTTAGACCTCTGGACCTCTTTCTGAAACCTAATGTGCAAATAGAAACTGTAGTTAGAGGAAGGCAATGCAGACCTAGGTAGTCTTGTGCTAGAACAGCCGGCCATCTGCTGTGGCCATCTACAGTCAGCTGGGGACATGGACCCTTCATCTTCCAGGGTCAGCTGACCAGTCAGCAGGAACAGCTGTGGCAGAATGTCCTGCTCTGCTCCCAGAGCCCCTCCCCACCTCTTCCTTTGGGCATCTATGGTGAGGTTGACCCCGCTGGGAAGTTTAGTGGTGGGTGGAGCCACCGCTCCCTTATTTTAGTTTTTTGCTGGTGCCATTCCTTATTATAAATCACTAAGAATTTAGGAGCTCTGATGGTGCCTTTTTCTAGTTCCCAGAAATCATGAAGATTTTCCCCTATTCTGTTAGATCATTTGGGGGATTTGTTTGAATAATGGACTTACAAGCTACAAAAAGTTAGAATGTCCTCCTGAATGAGGTGCGTTAATGCAGGCTCTGTGAGGGAAGGCATCTGTAGATTTGAGTGCATGCCAAACCGCAAATTCGGGGATTAGGGATTATAGTAAAACACACAGCCAGCTGGAGGGTCTCCCTCATTAGCTCATTCTAGAATCAGTAATTTACATCTTGCTCAAGCACTGGACATCCCTGGCTTAAGTGTCCTTGACACTGAAACCGGCTTTGAGCTCCAAGGGCTAGCTGACCTGCGTCTCCATTCCACTGGAGGAACTCCAGAGCCTTCTCTGCAAACGCCTTGACTGTGCGTGCACTTTTGTGAGATTCTCAGGCTTTGCTGAGTGTTTCTATAAATGCTCGTTTGGGTTCTTTTGCAATCAAGACAGCACATCCAGGGTTTGTATAATTAGTTCAGCTTGACCTCTCTCCAGTCAGCACTGTTGACTTTGGAAGCCGATCACTTCCATTGCTCATCCCCAAAAGGCAGCTCCTTTCCTGGCTAATTGTACTTTCAAAGCTTTAAAATAAACTCTGTGTTGTTAGTTTGTTAGTTTTTAAGGTTCATTACTGTTAAGATAGCAATTTCCCAAAGTGATTAATACATGACATTCCCAATAAAAGATTTTGAAATCCTATAAAATCATGCCGTCACTTTTTTTGGAAGCAACTTCAGTCTTTTAATACAATTGCAAAAATAGTACAGATATCCTCATCTTCCAGCCTCTACTAATGTGAACATTTCACATAACCAATAGTACACTTCTCAACGCCGGAGGTTAATGCTGACATGGCACTGTTAAGTAATCAACAGACCTTATTCACACTTACCCACTGTTTCACTCAGGTCTCATTTTTGGCCAAGGACCCAATGCAGACCCTGCATTGCATTTGGCTGTCCTGACTCCCTGGTTTCCCTCGTCTGGGACAGTTGCTCGGTCTCTGTGTCTTTCACAGCCTTGACATGAATGAAGAATACAAGTTGATATTTTGCAGACCGTCTCAGTTTCCGTTTGTCTGACATTTCCTCATGAAGAGACTGAGCTGATGCATATTTGCCAAGGACGCTGCAGAGGCAGTGCTGTGCCTGTCATGCCCGGGGTAGGTGTGGTCCACAATTCCTGTTACTAGAAATGGTCATGGTGATTTGGTGAAAGTGTGTTGTCAGGTTTTCCCACTGTCCCCTCCATATATTCCCTTTGCAACTATTAATATTACGTGGGAGAGACTTTGAGGCCATGTAGATGTCCCATTTTCATCAAACTTTCCCCCTCTTGTTTTATCATCCTTTGAATGATTTTTGTCTACAACAGTTATTAGTATGTGTCAGGCAAATAATGATTATCTATTGCCATCTTTCTTTCTATGTGGATTAATGAATTTTACTGTGAGAGCTGTTCTTTCACTTCTATTCAGGTACTCAGTTATTTAGTTGCATTAATTGAATTCATGGGCATTCAGTATATCCTAAGAGCTATAACCCATTACTATTATTAGATATTTTGTTGCTCAACTAGTCCCAGATTTGGTCATTGGGAAATCCTTCAAGCTGGCTCCATTTTGACCTGGCC